TAGGTCAAGGGTTCGGATCCCCAAAACAGCCAGCTGCCAAAAAAATAAATAAATAGCAAATAAAATAGATGAACAGAACAGCCCAGGAGGAAGGTTTAAAATGGGGGCTCTCAACCCCCACATGCAGGCCCACACCCCAATTCCACCCCTTACCCAGTGCATGACCTCAGACAGGTAACCCCTAACCTCTCTGAGTCTCAGTTTCCACACCCATAAAACAGAAATAAATAATAGTTACCTTGTATGGTGGCTATGATAATACAATGAGAGAATGCATATAAAGGGTTAACACAGAACCTGGCACAAATACACATAATAATTAAAAAGTATGGATTAATAGTATCAATTAACACTAATAATATCAATTATAATAAATAATAGTATCAATGAACATTTATTGAACAGCTACAATGTGCCAAGCACTCTTCTAAGTGCTTTACATGAGGTAACTAATCCCCTCCATAACGCCAGTGACAATGGAAAGGTGGCATCCCCTGGTCACTTCTGAGTCTGCCCAACACACACGATAAATGAATTGGTGATGCCTGCCTTCAAAGATTAAAATATAGCCCATTTTTTTAGCATTGCCCCCCTTTTCTCCAATATTGTGTCAGAGTTTCAAAATTCAAATGCCCACAGAAGCCCGGATGGGTAACATATGTGAGTGAAGTGGGCCAGGTGTGGGACAAAAGGGAGTGGCGGGCCTGGGATAAACTAGACAACATAAGATGCATCTAGAGGGGAATCCACTCCTTAACTACGGCCAACAGTTGCCAAGTTCCCAGATCATCAAAACATTCAAGGAAAATGGTATGTAGAATCTACCTATTGTTAGAGGTCAGCAACTCTTGAAATATTTTAAAGAATGTCGTGTGAGCTAAATAAAGCACACATCTGTGGCCTGGATTTGGCTATGGCCCTAGACTGAATGTTTCTCCTTTAAAAGAGTACCAAGGCCTCACAACCAAAGTTTAAACAAAGATGTAGGGACATTCCTTTGGTTCAACTGCCCCCTCTTTGTCCCTCTTCCTCTTGTGCCCCTGTAGCTCCAAAGCCCAAGTAAGAATCTAAAATATCCTAGTGTCTCCCCAAAAGAAGAGGCTGCTAGAGGGCTGCAACCTCACACCCCAAAATCAAAGTCCCCAGGGCTACCATTTCTGGAGCTGACAGTTCCTGCTCAACTTCATTAAGCAAAGTCAAGTGTTGGAGCCCATTCAACTCTAAAAAGAAAAAAAACTCAAAGGGTTTCTACTTACCAACAAGACAATGCTTCAGAGCCCTCTACAGTCCAGATGCTGGGTCCTCTTCCACTCTCATCCCTACATTAACCCTCAGCTCTGGCCTGGCTTGGNCGGTCAAAAAAAAAAAAAAGACAAAAAAAAAAAAAAACATTCGAGGAAAATGGTATGTAGAATCTACCTATTGTTAGAGGTCAGCAACTCTTAAAATATTTTAAAGAATGTCGTGTGAGCTAAATAAAGCACACATCTGTGGCCTGGATTTGGCTATGGCCCTAGACTGAATGTTTCTCCTTTAGGCCCCACAACCAAAGTTTAAACAAAGATGTAGGGACGTTCCTTTGGTTCAACTGCCCCCTCTTTGTCCCTCTTCCTCTTGTGCCCCTGTAGCTCCAAAGCCCAAGTAAGAATCTAAAATATCCTAGTGTTTCCCCAAAAGAAGAGGCAGCTAGAGGGCTGCAACCTCACACCCCAAAATCAAAGTCCCCAGGGCTACCATTTCTGGAGCTGACAGTTCCTGCTCGATTTCATTAAGCAAAGTCAGTGTTGGAGCCCATTCAACTCTAAAAAGAAAAAAAACTCAAAGGGTTTCTACTTACCAACAAGACAATGCTTCAGAGCCCTCTACAGTCTAGATGCTGGGTCCTCTTCCACTCTCATCCCTACATTAACCCTCAGCTCTGGCCTGGCTTGGNCGCTTCTCCGTTGCCTTCGGGATCCCTGTTTTGTTCTGTCACTAGGGGGCACTAGCGGGACACTGGCAGGCAGGAGGAGGGAGAAGGGATTTTGCCCTGTCCATTGGCATCCTGTTTATTTCTTGTTCAGTGGTGCCCAGCCTCGTGCTTTGCAACAGCAGCTGCAGTTCATTTCCACAAGAACAAGTGAATCCAGTTTGCGATATTTCCAATCATCGAAGAACCAGCCCCCACCCCAGTCCCAGTGACACCAGCATCAGTGAACCATGCCCCCTCCTTGGGGAGTCTGAGTTTCCACTCTGCAGACCCCTGCTCCAAGCTTGAGTTTTTGTTATNTCCTTGGGGAGTCTGAGTTTCCACTCTGCAGACCCCTGCTCCAAGCTTGAGTTTTTGTTATTTTAACCTCTTGCCTTGTTCTCCCAGCCACAGGGGTGATAGCAGCTTCCTGCCATTGCTATTTTCCTAATATCTCAATACTGCCTTCTTGCCTTTTCAATTACCTAGTTAACATTTCTTTATACCTAGTTAACAGTTCTCCCTATTAAGTTATTGCTCTTAATGTAGTTGTGTGGTCTTGGTTCTCCAATTTTAAACCTCTTCTTTCTTTGCCCCCAAATTCCACTCATCCTTCAAGATCCAGCTCAAGATGAAAACTTCCTTGCCCATTGCAATGCACATAACAATCATCCCTGAATTCCTGTAAACTTTACAGTCTCTACGACTCAAACCCAGACTTGCTCATCTACTGCAGGCGTTGGCAAACTATGGCCCACAGGCCAAGTTCAGATTTCTGCCTGTTTTTGTAAATCAATTGTATTAGAACACAGCCACACCCACGCATTCATGGCTGCCCTCATGCTACAACAGCAGCATTGAGTAGTCCCCAGAGAGACTGTGGCCCACAATGCCTATTTACCATCTGACCCTTTCCAGAAAAAGTTTTCTGACCCGTGGCCTATTGTTTGCATGGGTCTGTATTCCATGTGTTCGAGTTTCTCACGACATTGATACTGAGAAGTACAGAACTCTCAGCACATGACAACTCCATCCAAACCCCTGCACTGAGAGAATTGACTGTAGCATGGCTTCTAGCAGCACAAGGCTGTGCCCCTAGGATGACCCCAGACCCCC